GTACCTTGGTTGCGGGCACATCCCCAGTAGGGAGTGTGCAGGAGGCAGCTGATCGATGTTTCTAACTCTCTATCTCTCTCCCTTCCTCTCTGTAAAAAATCAATAAAATATATTTTTTAAAAAATGTATTTTTATTGATTTCAGAGAGGAAGGGAGAGGGAGAGGGACAGAAACATCAATGATGAGAGAGAATCACCAATCAGCTGCCTCCTGCACGCCCCACACTGGGGATCGAGTGCAACCCGGGCCTGTGGCCTGACCGGGAATCGAACCCTGACCTCCTGGTTCCTAGGTGGACGCTCAAGCACTGAGCCACGCTGGCTGGGCAATTTGGATCTTTATAACATCGTTCGCGGGCCGTACGCAATGATCCGCTTAAAAACCAGCCTGCTCTATGGGGTCAGATACTTAATGAACTCACGTCTAATGCCTTGGCGGGGCCAGACCCAATGATTTCTCAGGCCTTATACAGGCCTTGGGCCGGCGTTCCCCACCCCTGGGGGGGGCCTAGCCCACAGCCAGGCCGAGTAACAGGGGAGGGGGGAGTGCCAGCCCCCCCACCCCCGCGCTTGGCACAATACTTAACGAATTCACGTCTAATGCCTTGGCGGGGACAGACCCAATGGTTTCTCGGGCCTCATACGGCCCTCGGGCCGACGTTCCCCACCCCTGGGGCGGCCTAGCCCACAGCCAGGCCGAGTAACAGGGGCGGGGGGAGTGCCAGCCCCCCCACCCCCGCGCTTGGCACCCCCTGCAGATCAACAAGCTGACCGGCGAGGACACGGACAAGTACTACTGCGTCGCCGTGAACCCGTACGGAGAGGCCGTGTGCTCCGCACGGCTCACCGTCATCGAAGGTGGGGTCCCCCCGCACCCCCACACCCCGCCTGCCTCATCGGAGCTCAGGCCCCTGGGGTGCCCAAGAGAAGTCAGAGGCCCCGCTGTGGGGGGGAAGGGGGGAAGGGGGGGGCATAAGTGATGGAGACAGGGTTTGTGAATGGCTGCAGGTCCAGCCACACAGCTGGTTGGCAAAGTGGGGCCTCACCCTGACACAGCAGTTCTCAGGGGAGGAGAGAGCACCTGCCCCTCAGATGGGGCCCCAGGGGTCCCTGGCCCCTGAGGGAGGGGTACCCCTGAGGCTCTGGGGTACCCACGTGGTTGACGGGCAGGCCCCCCATCCCGCTCATCCCAGCTGCTGGGCTGTCCCCACGCCTCAGGGGATGGGGAGGGGGGTCGGGACCCTGGCCGGTGCTCAGCCGTCTTGGGGAGACCACCAGTGTGCCTGGCTTCTCCCCTCCCTGCCCACATGGACTCCCCCCTCCTCCCCGACGGTGCAGTTGGCTTTCGGAAGAAGCGGAAGAGGAACACGGAACCCCAGGAGGGTAGGTCGAAGGATTGCCCTTGGGGCCTTTGGGGGGTGGGCTACTCCTTGCCTGGTGCCCCCCCCCACTTGGTCAGGTCCCCACAGAGGCCCCAGGGGTCCAGTCCACAGGAGGGTGCCTTTTGTTCTTTTTGAAATATAGATATATTTTTTTATCGATATCAGAGAAGGGAGAGGGAGAGAGAGAGAGAAACATCAATGAAGAAAGAGAATCATGGACCGGCTGCCTCCAGCTCGCCCCCTCCTGGGGATCGAGGCCACAACATGGGCAGGTGCCCCGACGGGGAATCAAACCCTGACCTCCTGGTTCCCAGGTCGATGCTCAACCACTGAGCCACACGGGCCGGGCCACATGAGGGCCCCTTTCCACAGCTCCGTGTTGTTGGCCGTGGACCACACGCCCTCCTCCCACCCCTCCTCACCCGCCCGCTTCCTGGGGGCGGGGCCTCATTGCCTTCCTTTTGCAGACCTCAGTAAGGAGCTGATGGACTTGCGGAGGATGCTGAGGAAGAGGTGGGTGTGGGGGTCCATGGCG